AATTTTTTTTCGTAAAGTAGTTTGATTTTTTTTTTATTTAAGTAAAAGAGTATTTGTTTTTCGTTGGTATTAATATTTTATAAAATTATCAATTTTTTATAACACTTTAACTCAATCAACTTAAACACATTGTTAAATAGTCGTTATCGGGAATCGAAATTGCAACAAAGCTAATCGCATTAAACCGATTTATTTTTGTTACTCAATATATTTTTTACTATACTATATATGTCTTTAACACTATATTAGTATACATATACTATTTATTACTATATACTATATATTAATTACTCTCCTATATCTCATCCCCAGTGATAGTTCGTTTTATATATGTATTGTTATCTTGACGTTTGAAAGGAAGATGAAGACGTTTAAGTATGCTGAGCAATTTTTACTCTGTGAGAACATATATAAAGCCCTTTTATATGGATTTAAGAAGTTTTAGATAATATTATAATATTTAATATAAATTTTTTTTTTTCAAGTTTTTTTATATCATAATCAAAAAATTTTATGTTCAATTTTAAAATCTCTTCGATTTTACGCATTACGATTTCAAAGTGACGATATCTTTGACGAAAATTATTCAAATAGAAAATTAATTTAAATAATTTAATCTTTCTAGAAAATTGTGGAATTTGTTTTATTCAAATTGAAATTTATTTATAAATATAAAGTAACTAATTAAAAACAGAAGTATTCAATTAAAAATATGTTGCTTATCTTTAATAGTAAAACTTTTTAGATTTTTTTACGTAGGAAAATATGATGACTCTTCCTAAACGTAATTTAATTAAATGATTAGATAATAATCCGGAATGACAATATAATTTCAATTGTGAGTAGGAATTGAATAAAAAACAATAATAACGAATAACGAAACCACTTTAGTCATACATTTATAAATATAGGTACATTATTTTTTACTGTACATATCTTTATGATGTTCGATTAAAAAATAGTCTGAAATCATTTAAATTTGTAGAACTTCGATAAGAAAAACTTTTAAATCACTGGTAACTACAATATTATCTCAACAAAAAAAAAATTATTTTTTATATGATATTTTCAAGAAGTTTATAGATTAATTTATTTAAAAAAAAATAAAGTAAATGTAAACTGTAAAAATTTTAAACGCCCTTCGTTGTGCGTTAATTATTTATTAAAAATTATTATAGATTTCAAAATTTTTTTTATTTCCATTTGGATTTATTTCCAAGGTAAAGAAAACAATAGGCATTTAATTTTAAAACACGGTGATGGATAGGTCAGTTCTAGGGAAGGCCAGTATTACGTCGCGGAACCGCCCGGCTGGTGCACAATAAGTAGGTCTCTTATTTGTATTATAACAACAACGGTTTATGTCTATGCAGTTCCATATGATTTTTAGGTTTTATAAATTACTGATTAGTTATAAACCATAAGATATATCCTAACTGTCGTTTTCCATACATTACTGCAATTATCGGAAATAGTGCAACTTAGTTGCAAACCTCGTCTTTGAAAACTTTGCCTTGAAGACAGTTTCGTTAATAGCGGCCAAACCAATCGGCTATCGTTTAAAACAGTTCCTCCCCATTTACAATAGTGCCTAAGTAACATATTTTTTTTTAGTAGATCGCTTTACGAATTTTTTAATGTCTATATGTAAACTTTATTTTAATAAATTAATTATTAATGGATTAAGAGTTGAATTCTTAAACAAGAGTTTATGGGTTGTATGCCTCAATAATTAATAGTTGTAACTTTAAGGGCTGATCACAGTTATAACGTCATTGCGAATGCTGATTTAAGTGAAATTTAAATCATCAACTTTGCTTACTCAATAAATATAGAAGTCAATTTTAATTTATTTCAATTATGAAATCGGCTCATAGTGCCTCAGCAATTTACTAAAAATCAAATTACAATATCTTTAAAACCAGAAAGCATGCCTATATAGTGTAGAAATACAATATGAAAATGTATCAATATTTTTTTTTTGTTTTTAACCCAGCAATTTGAACCCACTTTATTTCATCTCAAAATAATATAATACAAATAATATAATAATTTCATCTTCCTTATTTAGGGATAAAAATCTAAAATTTGTAGATCTTTCTCCTCCCTTATTTAGAGGAGAAAAAATCTATTAGCTCTTTTTTGCTCTTTAATTAAAGAAAATAAAATCTAAAGTTTGTAGATCTTTCTTCTTCTTATTTAGAAAAAAATCTAAAGTTATAAGTCATTTCTTGTTCTTCATTTAGAAAGAAAAAAATGTAAACTGCTTACATCACAAAATGAAAGAATCAATACGAAGGTGTGGTAATCTGCATAATAGATGAGTGAATAACAACGCTAAGAGTTTATTATTTTTAATCGAACACATCCACTGTTTAAAACATGGACGCATCCAGTTTTCAAGACACGTACGCAAAATATCTTAGAAGATAGACATTTCTTCGATACTGTCTTTGAAGACTGTTTTATATAGAGATTACATATCATATATATCATGCCCATTAATTAACCGGTTCAACCGGAATAAAATTTAATTTTAATACTTCTTTTTTAAGAAGACAACCATAAATATAGAATATTTACTAAATATACCATAATAATCATAGCTTAATAAAAATGTTATAGCTCATAGTTCGTCTCTTCATATTAAGATTATATAGTATACCGTTCATGTAGATTAAGAGAACAGTTTAGGTGACTCTAAATATTGACTCAAAATTAAAATCGTTTAGCTTATATAGATTACTTATCATATATACAATATAAACAAATTTAGTGGTTTTGGAGAAAATTCGGATTATGGATAAACATCCTAAAGAAAAGTTTAACTTTCCATATTTTAAGAATATGGAATCTTTTCTGAATCTTTTCTCTGGAACATTTAACAAAAAAAAATAATCCCTCTCAGTTTAACCGTTTTAAAGTGATTTTTTTATTTTTATTATATAGATACGTTTATTATTTCAAAAACTTATGTTATATATGGACATGTGGCATAAGTTTTCAAGATAGACTTTGCTCTTCCTGTGTGAAGGGTATCTTAACTTCAAAAAAGCCCGATTGAAATTCTTTTGTTCTTAATAATATATATATTTTTTTCTTAAGTGAACACATATTGAATAACAAAAAGATTTTTTTTTATCTAAATCAGCAAAACATTTTGAAAACATTCGCAATGCCCTTATCAATACTAAACGATAATTAATAAATGTTGCAGTAGCAGCGCAAGGGCACAGTGGAATGAGTTCTTAAATGTTATTTTATTATTTTTTAATTTTTTTTTGTTTTTGTTTGTTCAATACAGTGGCTA